AAATCAGGCAGGTTATTTGTGAATCTGTCTTTGGTGGCTGGAACAATAGTTCTGCCCAGACAATAACGCGGAGCCATATAGTTAATATTAGTAATACGCAGCATGCACGATACAAGGAAATGGTCAGTAACATCATCGCTTTGAGGTACGATATCTATATCAGTAAGATCAATTCCATGCGATATAATTAAATCTAGCGTATGATTAAAACGATGAGTGGGCCCGGTGACGTTTTGCTTGACTCCAAAAGAGTTTATTAGGTCAGTAAACGCAAGTCCTAATGCATCATTTGTATTATCAACGTGAATATTAAAATCTCCGACAATTAGCGCCTTATCAACAGTAACCAATAAATGTAACAAGGACACCTTAAGATAAAGTGTAACCCTTTTTTTATACCATCGCCAGTTATTTTATCAGCCCTCAACAAACATTCTTAATTTGCTGAGTAACATAAAGTGCAACATCTGAACGCTTTTCCCATCTGTGACAGTGGTGTACAGTCAGCAGGTGTTTCCAAGTGAAAACACCATCAATGGATTGTGAGTCATGAATGGATTTGTGCCTCCAACCCCCTACTTACAGATCACCACATCCTCTGCAACGCCATCAGATGAATCAGAAGGTCTTATATCTACTATTTTCCCTTTGCAAAGCTACAGGAGCACAGTAAAAGCACCATTATGGATCAAATCACACAATTGCAATGTACCTGTTTAAAATGCACCAGCAGTTTTGATAGATTCAACATTTAGAAGAGCTCTTTACATCTAAAGACATTTCTAAAACATTTCTTTAGATCTTTTTATCCCAAGTGAAAATAGACAATGAAACCTTAACTTTCTATAATACAAGTGAAACCCTGTTAGAGACTTCAAGACTGTTAGGGAATGAACTCTTCGATTCTCCCAGCAATTTAGCAGTTTCACTAATAATGGTGAAACATACAATAGGGGTGGAAGAGTGCAGGAAAGGTCAACCGTTTTATTTAAGGCATTCAGATGTGGACGGAAGCAGATAAAGAATAGCTCTGAGACTTGAGGTTCACTAACTTGCCAGTAAGAAACTGTTAGTTTGTAGTATTAGGCTACCTTTCAATACAGATTCCATTAAATTGGTTGGCAACTTCTTTTCACTTCGATATCTGGAACAAGCTTTTTAAATCATGTTTTTAAAGCCTTTACCGTTCAGGGGTTTGATTTGTAGACATTTTTATGGTAGGCCTGTAGTTTTATTTACTGCAGTAACTTAAGCTGAAACTATCATTCTTCTCAACTTCTAGTGGCCTGCTTCATTTGTCAATTACATTGATGGCTTTACAAAAACACACACAGCAGATAAAATCTAGCAGATCTTATGTCTGCTACTCCAGGAAGATTAATTCTTATATTCTCTCAGCAACTTATTGCAATTTCAAAGCAAAGCATACTTGTCTTTAAAAGCTTTGGCCAATAAACACCAGTATGATGCCAAACTGTGATTGTGCCAGCCTGTTAGTAACTGAGCAACTACAGAACATTAGAATTCATTACATCATTTAGTTCAATTGAATTGTATGTTATCACCAAGGTGAAGAAAGCATTACGACAAACAGGATGGAGTATGATAACAGTGGTGCCAGTCCAGTCATACATCACACCAGTCAATCAATGCCTCACCGCATGTGTTCACTAGACCTGCCAAAGCAAGAGGAAATTACTTTTAGATTACATTAGCACTTGCTAATTTACTTGCTACACTTGGTCATATGAAGGACCTGTAGTTCTAAAAGATCATGTTTTTGGCCAACTTTACATGTTATCCAGAGTTTGCATGATGATGCAGGTGTAAAAGCAAGCTATCAATACGTTTTTAGTACAAACAACGCATCCAGAATGCATTCAGAAACAAGTTCACAGAGTTCCAAGAGTTGCATTTCAGTCCGTTTCAAAGCCTTTTATAAAATGGGGTGTTTTTTTGACCACTCTCGTACTGAATGCGACCATATTTCTTAAGTGCATCTTGACTGTTACTAAGATATTGATTCTGTGCAAATGTCGGAAGACAAAATTCACCCCAGCAAAATATGAAGAAAATGGTTTTATAAAATCCAATTTTCTGCAAGAGTGACTCACGCAGTGTTTAGATTGTGGCAAGGATTTCAATCCAGCTGTTCTGGAAAAGTTATCAGAAT